AAAAAGGGAAATCTGAGTTTTGATTAGGGATGCTACTGTGGGAATAAATTTAGGATGAGTGAACAGGAAACTCCCCTGTCACCCTGGTGAGGATCCTGAAACTCTACTGCCACCAGCCAGAATGATTAATTTTGATAAACTGATAAACTGTCCTGGTAGTGTTACTGAGACACAGATTGTCAACCAGATGAGGCTCTTAACTACTTACACCATCTCCATTGTGCTTATAATAATTTAATTCATTGTGATACAGTTGTGTTTATTCCTGGAAGAGAAACTGAAATCCTTCCAGGTATTCATCAAGTCCTCCAGCAATGAGTGATAAGAGGTTGCTCTTTCTCCAGACTGTCTCCATTGAACTATAAATATGTCTGAGGAGCCACCTGCACTAGAAATAGACCTTAACTTAGAAAAAGGAATTAGATGAAACACTTCCAAACACTGGCAAGATTTTACAATCAGATTAGGAAACATCACCTAGGATATATCTGGCAATGGCTCACATCAAATAAGATGTTTTAGACAACAGAATCCTGACAGATTTGTACTTTCAGAGTCTGAATGAAACTCTCAGCTGTCAACACTACACAGACATAGAAAAATGAGACAGGTGTTTAATACAGTGGTAGGGTGTGTGTCCTCAGAGTGAAGCATCTCGTGCTCAGATTCTGCCAGCTGACAGCAGGTCTTTGATGTCATGGAGACCAGTCACCCACAAACTGCAGAACTGAGGAAGAAGACTTTCCAGGATGCAGTGGCAGAAGGAGAATTTCTCCAGTGCAAACTTTCCACCACTTGGGATATGTCTCATACCCCCACTCCTTTTAGTGTAATGTTAAAACCCCCTCTGTACTAAAGGGATAGAATGTGTGAATGCACAGTGAGTGAATCCTTACATGGACTGCTATTTGGAAATAAGAACTACTGTTTTAAGTTCTGTTTTGCTTAATTATTCATTATTTACTACTTTAATTATGCATGAAAAACCTCAAGTACTTCTGAATTTTCTTTAGGCAATGCAGACACTATGGCATGCTAAGAAAGTTATATATTGAGATGTCTCTTCCTTCCATTAGCCATAAGAGAAACATAAATTACAATTCAGCATATAATTCTCTGCTTCTTCACACAATGATTTAAAGTTGATTGAGCACAATTACTTTGTACTCAGCATATTTACTGTTGTACAAAACTTTGTCTCTCTCATAAAGAAAAGGCATCCAGGCACATTTTTGAACAATAGCATTGTAAAACATTCTTTAATGAGGCTTCTCGTGAAAACGTGTTTTATCTTTCAGTTGTTTACAAATCACTTTAGCAGTGATTTGGGAAAGTGCTTTAATATGTGATAATATTCCTCCTTCAAAAGGAACTTGGCTTAAGTGCTTTTCTGAGCAGAATCATGTTTTTCTGTCCATTTATCTGAGTTTAAAGTAGGGATTTATTGTGATATCTCAAAGCATTTTGAAACAAAGCTACTGAAGGGTAGCATATAGATCCCTTCCCTTATCTCTCCATCTGCAACATTTGTACTTCCTAGCACATCCTAGTTTGCCACACTGGCTGGACAAGACACAGCACATGCTGTGATTGTACAAGACTTACAAAGAAAAAGATTGTATATATATAAATATATATATATATATTGTCTTTAATACAGAAAGCAATCCTCACATAGCTGAACTTTGCTTTTCTGCTCACAGACCTAACCAAGGGCTTGGTCACTCTCAAGGGTCATTCTTCACAATTCTGTTGAATCCTTTTCACAGTCACCAAACTCACACTGGCTAACAGGTTCACATTCCTTTATGGTGCCTGACAGACAACGTGACCACAGAAATTTTGTTTCCTTATGAAGCCAAGGGTTAAAAACAAAACCCATGGATGTCAAACTTGTAAGTCCTTGTATAAAATTATAGGAAAAGATAATGAATATTTTCAAGTGAATTTTACAAGACTTACTCATATTAATGTTAGTAATTTTTTTTTTAGTAATTGATCAGGTTTGGTAATGCTTTAGACATCAAATTACAGAGAGGTTTGAGGGAAGCAGTTTGCAAAGCCTTTTTTTAGTGCTACTTTCCTTCACTCTGCTCCTTGTCACTGTTAAAGCTGAGTACTGCAAAATCTTGTTGATACTTGTGACTGCATGAGGAGGCAGTTGGGATTTTAATATTAGTTGTGGTAGGGCTCTGTGCATCAAAATCAGCTTTAATCACTTTTGAATTAGTTCACTTCTCCTGTCAGCAAATATTCCCCATCTTTGATGCTCTCAGACTACTCTCTTCACTAATGTGAAAGAATGCAATTCTTCAGTTTCTGTGGATGCCCACAGAACTCTTCACTGAATTCCTTTATTCAGCAAAATGCCAACAGTAACATTGTTCTCCAAAAAGAGAGAAAAGAAAACCCCCTGAAGAATAGGCTAATAATTTTGCGTGTTAATGATGAATCTGTTAATTTCACACAAACCATCCAAAAGAAAAGGCCACTAGAGGGAAAGTAAATCCAATATGCTCAAAGAAAATAAAACGCCAGCTACTCTAAATGATTGTAATTAACAGAATGGTCTGGATTTACAACAGCAGAAGATTTTGGTCTATATCCTTAACAAAAATATGACAAATGAATGAAACAATTTATGTATTTATACAAAGGTCTTGCACTTCATGCAATGTGCATACCAAAACCATTAAAGTAGTATGTAGGAAAAGATTGCATATAAAAAGGTAGTATGAATATGGGATAAATATGTTGTGTAGGTATAATTTATTGCACACCTGTATCTTTCACATTAGACACACATCAAATGGAAAAAAATGGATCTAAATCTTTGGACTTCTGGTAAAGGGTCCTCATAAAAACAAATTCATTTTTGATTTGTTGTCATTCATATGTTTAATCTTGGATCTTTGTTTTCTATGAGTATGTGCACAAACCTGCAGCACCATGCAATAACAACTGTCCATATCATCAGAATTATAAGGAAAGACTTCCCAACAGTGAGTTTATAAAACTAATAAAATCTCTGCCATGTTCCAAAGCTTTAGTTCTACAGCTTACTTTTCTGAGGTTGGATAACCTAGATTTTCCCATATCCCTTCTTATTTATGACTAAAAGTAACTCAAAAAGATATCCATTTTTCTCTCCATACTTTCCATCACGAAAAACGCCATGAATTTTCTTCTACATTTCATACAACATTGCATTTTTCTTGTCCTTTTAAATAAATAGTCACCATGCTTATAGTTTTATACAACTACATAGCCTGTAAGCCTACAGAAATGGTTTTAGCTTTATAACTACATTTTATAGATGACTCCATTTAATTTTTTACAGCACTTTCTCACACAAAGCTGTCTTTTTATATCCAGATGAAGTGACAGATATTCTGAAAATCTGGTCTTAAATCCTCTGAAGCCTTTCCAATAACATTTTTAGTAAGGTAGGAATTATTAAAGGGAATGCAAACAGTATAGAGTTTACTGTCAGTGTGTCAAAAACTATCAAAACATTGGTCTTTTCCCTGTTTTGAGTTTTTGCAGAGAAAATCTATATCCTTAAACCAGGGACAGACAACAGCAAAAGACATTATTTTTTAAAAGCCTGCCACTTAAATACACATTACAAGCTGTGTTCACACAGCTGTTACCCACTCTAAAAATGAACTGTATTTCAAGTGACCTCCACCTGGGAGAGCCTGGTGACTGCATTTAATACCATGGTGCAAAACATCCAAAAGGAAGTTTACACAAGGCCTATATATCATTAGGCATCTTGCATAATTAGTTCTTCTGTTACCATCATGGACATGAGTGAGTGGCTTTTGTGCTTTTTTAAATTAATTTTCATGAGTATTATTAGTATTACCCTCACTGTCATTATCACCATCATCATCACAGCAAGCTGTTCATTTCTGTATGCCCACAGGCAAACGAGTCATTACTTACTCATCGACAAAACTACTTGTCCCAGATATACAGGTTAGCAGATTTTTGCTAGGCTGATCAGTGAAAGAACCCAGGGCCTTCCCTACAAGTGGAACATAACAGGATCCTCCTGAACATTAGCACTTTAACTATGCAGAAGCATAAAATTAAATGTGTCCTACTCCAAACAGTAGTTCTGCCAGCTTAGTTCTTGTTCTACATTAAACACTTCAGCTGCAGTTGCAATGTCACTGCACAGCAGGTGAAAAACATTTCTGGAACAAATGTCAGCAAGGGATAATTCTGAAATAACCTTCTTGTCTACAGTTACAGAAGCCAGAAGAGAGGAGTGCTATATGGATTGCATTGTTGCTAACCTGTGATGCTGTTTCCTGGCACAGTAAGTATTTCTAAAAAAAAAATTGCAGAAATAAACAAAAAAATAGAGAGCTCTTTTAGTTTCCCATGTTTCTCTCAAAGACTCACCTTGGACATGAATTCAAACTGAAATTGGAGCAAGAAAAAGCTCAAAACAATAATGCAAAGTTTAAAAGTAAAGGAATAAAAAAGAATCTATTAGGATAGTTCAGCTGCAGAAATGGCTCATAAAGATGCAGAAGTATCTTACAGTGAGGCATGCTGAATTAGTGCTATGAAACACAGATACCAAAGAAAGGGAGTTCACTTTCGCTCTGCCTTTGAATTGTGGAGTTGTAGTGGATAAGCTGTGGTGTTTTACTCTTTGTAAACTGAAATTGAAAAAGCCCCAGACTCCAGTCCTGAATAACCACTGACATAGCTGGTCTCAGATGGCTAAAGCTTGCATTTAATTTTGAACAGAAAGGTATGGGTTTGTGCCCTGTGTAATGGGGTCAAGGGCCAGCTGCCAGAAGCATTTAATGCCCTCATCTGCAGAAGCTGAAAGTCCTCGTGGAAGGCACCTAAAAACCTCCAGCAATCTGCAAAACGCCCTAACCCGCTGAACCCAGACTTCCAAGAAGCAAAGGATGCCCGCAGCGAGTGGCCAGGTGACAGGGCCACGGTGACAGACACGCAGCGCTGGCACTTACCATCTTGGTCTGTGGTGACCGTGATGGCTGTGAACTGCTTGGGGGAGAAGCTGAGCTCCGAGACGCCGTTGGTGGCCTCTATCTCGAAGGTGTAGTTGACGTGCGACACGAAGTCGAGCACGGTCACGGAGGAGTTGATGAGCCCCGTGTGCCTGGGGATGAAGCGGATGCCTCCCCCGCAGATCTCGCACTGGCTGGCGTCCGACCCGCACTTCTTGCAGATGACGCTGTAGGTGAGATCCTTCCTTCCTCCAGTGTCGCTCGGGGGGCTCCACTCCAGCATCAGAGCTGTTTCGTTGATGTTGAAAACCACATTCCTCGGAGCAGAAGGTGGTCCTGCAGAAAAGGAACACAGAGCCTGTTAAGCCATTGTTATTTCCTTTTAGAAAAAAAAGTTATTTGCAAATAAAAGATACAAGAGCTACGTTTCAATGATAGATTCAATATAAAAATTAAAAGTTATCTATGTACAATCCTCGAAAAAAAAGCAGGAACAACAAATCACTGACATCATAAAAAGCTGAATAATCAAAATAACTTAGAATTAATTCAGAGAGAATTTAAGGCAACACAAAAATGACTTGGGAATGTAAAATCTAGACAAGATAACACCAATTTTCAATAAATGGCTCTTGATGCTGTGAGATACTGAGGCAGAGCTCTAACCACAAAATTTATATCCTTATTTTATGTCTAGTAATGTGACTTTTCTGAGACTTAAAATCTTTGACATTTTGTAAGAGACAAATTGAGTAATAAATAAATAACAGCTTTGGAATAATGACAAGAGGTAAAATGGTTTGTATTAGTTCTGCACTGCCAGATATTTCTTTCTGTCCTTCACTGCTTTTCCCCAGGGATTTCTCTGCTGCTGTTCATTAACAGGGTTAGGTGGCAACAGGCCAAGACTATCAGGCGTAAGTTAGTTTACAAGTTTTCTTTCTTTCCCATCTGGCATGTCATCAGCATCAGGATAACGGTGAAGACATCAACTTTTCCACTTAAAGTTCTAAAAGGATGATCAGGAAGCAAGTGAAAAAGTACTTCTTTGAGGCTGTGAGGAGGAATGCAAAGACAGTGGCAGCAGGCAGAGTGTGGGGAAGCTTTCACCCAGTGAGCAGGTGGTAGAGTGAGCACTGCCAGATAAACCACAAGTGACCCATTTCCAATTTCCCACTCATCACACAACAGTCAAGGTATGCCCACTGATTTTAAACTGTTTGCTGACATACTGTGTAGGATCACGTGGAAATCACCTGAGGCTTTATATAGACATAAAAAAAATGAATATATAGAGTGATCCAGTGATTGACCCTCGTACTGAGCACTGATGAGGCACCTTGAGTTCTCTGTCCAGTTCTGGGGCCCTCACTTAAAGAACGGCATTAAGGAGCTGGAGAATGTCCAGAGAAGGGCAATGGAGCTGGAGAAGAGTCTGGAGCACCAGTCTGATGAGGAGCAGCTGAGGGAGCTGGGGTGTTCAGCCTGGAGAAAAGGAGACTCAGGGGGGACCTTATGGCTCTCCAAAACTCCCTGACAGGAGGGTGCAGCCAGATGGGGGTTGGTCTCTTCTCTTGGGCAACAAGTGATAGAAAAAGGGAAATGGCCTCAAGCTGTGCCAGGGGAGAGGTTCAGGTTGGACATCAAGAAGAATTTCTTCACAGAAAGGATGGCCAGGCATTAGAATTTACTGTCCTCAGAGGCAGTGAACTCAAATTCCCTGGGGGTGTTCAAGAAACCAGGAGATTTGCCACTTAGTGCTGTGGTCTGGTTTACATGGTAGTGATGGATTGGTCAAAGGTTGGACTTGGAGATCCTGGAGGTCTTTCCAACCTTTATGATCCTGTAATATTATGATTCCATATCAGATTCCACAGTCTATCAGACAGGACTTTACCACCTAATTATATTTTAGATAGGAATTAATGAAGGGGTGAAGGAAAGGTAAAAATTGTTACAGCACATCTAAATCATCTCAATTTCTTATTGAATTATTCTTCCACTTAACAAGTTTCAAGCAAGCACTTACAGATGTATGATTTTCAAAACCAATTTGGATGTAATCCCAAAATAAAAATTACTAAAAGAAACATGGACTTGGAAAAATATGGGGCCTTATACTCCAGGTGTTGATATATATGAGATGACTGTGGCAAACCCAGTCAAACTCTGGAGTCTTTGGGCTGAATGAGGCAAACAAATAAGCATTATATTTCCATCTCTCAACAAAATCACAGTGCTTCACCAATAGTTACCAGAACTTGGAAAACTTTCAGCTTGCTTTGCAGCTTTTGATGATTTATAAAACTTCCCACAGGACTTAAGCATAAAGTTTTGATTGAGACACTGGTAAAACTTTGAATGAGCTTTTCCTTATTTCAGAGTTTCTTAAGCAGACTAAAAGGCTGAAAGAAACATTTGCAAATGGCACCAGCTAATTTTTACACAGAGTGTAACATTCAAAAATTTTAAGTGATGCATTTTATTTACCTATGTGGCATAAGCACGGGTCTAAAACCTGGAATGCTTGTAAATAAAAAATCTGGTATTGTGTGGGAGTGATAATGTGAATAATAAACATTAAGCTTTTCTTTGAACTGTAATTCAGCTGCTTTTTCATTTCTGGTGTTTACTTGTAACTTTTGATAAGAGAGCAATTAACTTTGCCCTGAATAAATGATGAGTTATCTGCTGGATTTCAAGCAGTTGGTGTTTAAAAACATATGGAAGTGTTACACTGCCTTGCATTTTTCAGTGGAGAAGAAAATTTAAAATATTTTGAATGGATCTGCATTTATCAGTTTATCAATCAGTAGAATTTATGGTTAACAGATCACCAGACTTCCCACAAAATGAGGATTAGGGTTCTAGCTACTCTGGGAAACAGTCCTGAGACTGGAATAAGCTAAAACCAGAACACATTACTTCAGCTTCAGTTATTATTATTTATGTTCAGAAGACAGGAATAATAATGTTTCCTCTAAAACCATGCTGTGAGAATTAAATAATGGCTGGGTCTTAGCAAATTCCCACTGTTAAAACCATGGAGGAGTTTTAGGAATATGGAGGATGAGCCGTAATCGCACTTCCATATGTGCATAACTTTAAGTAGATGAGTAATCCCCTTGAAATAATTGGCAATATTCATGCACTTAAAACTAAGGAGCTGTGTAATTGCTTGAAGGATTGGAGTCAATGTTTTAAAACTGGCTTGAATTTAAACATAAACTATGGATATTATGACAACAGGTCATCACAGCTCAAGCTTTTTTGATATTATTTCATCGATTTTGGCAGGCCCAAACAGGAATTAATATGAATCAGGGCAATAGGAGAGTTTTGTCTGCCTCTGTGGATTTTAATTTTCTATCAGATTTTCCCTGTACTGTATGGAATGGCATTTACAGAAGAACCAACACAGTAAATAAAATACTCTTTAAATTTATTTTTTTTTCCATTTGGACTGGAGAGTCAAGGTTCTTATAGTCATGACTTGTGACTTATTTTTCAATTGCAAGAGAAAACACATTATTGTGCATTCACATTTCAGTGAAAAGGAAAACTATCAATTATGTTAGAGGTATCTTAAAGTATACAACTGTCCTCTTGCAAATGCAGGAAAAACCCTCAAACACACTTCATACTCAAGGCCCCTCATGCCAATTTGCATGAGGATTAAATAGCTTTTTAATTGCTGTTAAATTATGCCAGTTAAACTGTGATTTCATGCAAATATTAAGCTGTAATGACATGCAGTGAATCATTTACTAAGATTTAGAACTTGGAACAAAGAGAGACAATTAATTGTAATCCTCAGATTCAGCTAAATTATGTGTCACTGGGCTTTTATGAATGTGGCCTGATTGCTTTGTTATCATTTATAAATTATACAAAGATTATCTGGCACATTGAAAAAACCTGGCAACAATAACCCTTCTGTAGACATCTGTATGCAAAGCTCTCAGGGTTTTCCTTATATTGATTTTTTAAGAGAAACAAGCATATTGGTGAAAATAAGGGATCCTTTCCTCACAGCATAATTCATGACTTTGAATTTTCTGTGAAAGAATAAAATACAGTTCAGATGGATGAGCATTACAAAAACATGCAACTCTTCTGCTGAGATGGAACTCATCCAGACTGTGAGTAATGTCTTTTGCTTCATTTACAAATTACAATGAGGAAGTATTTTGAAAGTTTTTGTGGAGGAGACTGGCCTGGATGTCTTATGGTGAAGCAGCTCTGAAAGCAACAGAGCTGAGTTTGTGCCTCATTCAGTGCTTTGCACCTCATCTTGTTTTATGTATTCTCTTCCTCTCTGAAGGCAAGATGCATTTTCCTGCTTATGGAAGGAAGAGGAGCAAACCCAGCACAGCAGAAGTCTGATGAGGGCAATGCAGTATTTTACACACTTGAGAGTGAAGACTGTCTAGAAAAAAAATATTGCTTTTAAAGTGAGAACTGTACATTATACACTATTGGACTCTTAGAATTTTATGTCATTTGACTAGTGAAGTTACAACAGAAGGGCAAAGATTAACCATCACCTTAGGATACTCAGAATCAGCATCTGGCTGTGCCCCTTGAGTTCATAATTGTGTTTTGATATCCAGATATGTAGCACAGATAAATAGTGCCACTTGATGTAGAATTACATTTTTCTCTTTTCACTTATTTTTTCCCTGTGAGGCAAGCAGCAAGAATGGAAGCCAGTGACTGCAAACCAGTATCTCAAGTCTGAGCATAATGTTAAATTGCAAAAAAGTGTATAAATTATATATAGATGTATGAAACAATGAGACAGTAAAGACTTCAATCAGGCATTGCCTGATTTTGCTGCTGAAATTCAGTGTTGGCTATTAAAAATAGAGGATACACTTTGTGGCAGAGGTTATTGAACAGAGCATAAGTTTTTTGGGTTCAAATTGTTTAAGTATAACATTAAAGGAGAGGCATTCAGACAACCAATATAAGCCTGCCTGACCTTGAAAAGATGGATCCATTCACCCAATTACTTTCTAGTGGGAAATGTTAGACTTTTTGTACAGAGTAATCAGACAGGGGATTAGATATGATGCTATTTGTTGCTCACTGTGTATGCAGAGATCATTGATAGAGTACTTGCATATGGCAAAGAAATACAATAAGAAGGAAAAGTAGCAATGAGAGATTGATAAGAAGTTTATGTCAAATGAAAAGAGCCTAGGAGAAGGAGATTAGCAATATATTCTAGTGTAATTTTCATTCCTCTTATTGAAATTAGATTTCTATTATGGTGTTCCACAAAGTGAACACTCTCCTTTAACAAAATGCAGCTACATAAAGTAAAAATGGGAGCTGTACAATTTTGTAAAAGCACACAGTACTTTCACAGAATTAATCAAAGTGGATTTGAACCTCATCTTGAAAGAGGTGGATGCCTTTCTTAAATCAAGATTGATTTTTTAATTTTTTTTCCATAATGCTGCATATGCAAGTTTCTCAGTACTGAGGAAGAGTTCTGGAGTGAGGAACACTGCCTAACCCCATACTGCCCAACCCTATACAGGAATGAAAAGAGAGAACAAAATATCTACCCATCTTAGGCATCCTTGCAGGACATGGGGGAGCAAATAAAATGGGCATCAATAAAGTCAGTCAAAATGTTTGAACATTAGGACATTTGTAAGGAGAATCCACTGTTTGTTCTGTGTTTCATTTATGAATATCTCTCCCTTCAAAGGTCCCAAGAAAAAATTCTGTTTCTTATGTCATGCCTCATATGTCAAGTATGTCAAGATAGAAATCTGAAAATTAATATGGAAAATGCAGATCTTTCCCAAAGGTGGTTATGTAAAAATGGCTTTTCATTTCTGTACAGCATTTTCTGTCTATTTATTCAAAGTTCCTAATTTTCTTAAAACTTTTCAACTTCTTTTATTAAAGCATGACAGTTTGGAAGGAACAAGCTAAATTTCACTCATATCTATATCTTTGTTTATTAAATTTAAATTAGTCACATCTGTGCAGATCCACCAAAAGCAGTGAGGTTGTATTTATGACAGAAACATAATTTTAATAACTGACAGACTAATTTGAAAGCAGTGGGGCTAAAGATGTCACTTTGGGAATAATTTGGCCTGAAGACTCTTCATTACTGCTGATGTGCAAGATAAGATCACAGTCTGCCTGTCAAGAGCTTCAGTGTCATTTTCAGAGCTGACAATTAGTGAAATAATCATCATTGTAGGTGTAAGATGAATACATCTGCTGTGACAGTCACTGAAGTACTGACACCTTGCAGCCTAGGCGGAATGGGAGACACTGCATTGAACCAAGAAACCAGAATGTCTCCTTTATTTCTTCCTTCTCTCAAGCTGAAGTGAGGTGAGGCACTGATATCCTGTTGTGGTTGACTTTTGCCCTGCCTCAATTTACTCAGTTACTCTGGCTGAAATACTCAGTAGAAATGTGCAGGTCTGGCACCAGGTTTTTCCTGACAGTTTTCACCCAAAGCAGCTCTCTGTACTCACATTTGTTCAGATAAGCAGAGTGTTGAAGTAACTGCTCTCTGATGCCCCTCCCTACCTTATCAACATATCAGGTTATCAGAGCTTAAAATTGTGCCCTGAAAGATAATTATGGAATCATAATGCCACGTTTGAGTAATTTTTTCAAAGCACTCTCTTTCAGCAATGAAAAATCAATGACATATAAAAAATATGGAGCCACATCTGCATAATGTATGAGTGAAACCCTCTTCCCAAGCATGAAAGTGTCAAGAATGCCTGGGATGTGTTGATTCTGGGAGTAAGTTTTTAATGGCCTGTGCTTGAGGCATTGATTTGAGTGGAACTATTTGTAATCACCATTTTCCTGTGGGAAGCCTGAAAGGATGCTGTTTATTCCCTCACATCATGTGAAATGCCAGGCCTGTGTGCCCTGCTCCAGAGTGAGCTGGGACAGGGGGAACACTCTCTGAGCCCTGAAATATCCAGAGGCTGGGATTAACCTTCTCCCTGAAAATCCTCTGGTTCGATTACACAATTTTCTGACTTGGGTCTGAGGAGTGCCATTTTTATTGACCATCACCCTCATACAGTGGATGGACAATGCCTTGGTTTATGTAATGACCTCGTTGTCCATTCATTTGTAAATCAGCTTCAAATCATCAGGAATTTTCCCAGTCTAGTGCCACTGGAAAAAGCAGCATGAGCAGAGGAAGTAGCTCAGTTCAGTCAGCTCAGTTATTTTTATGTGACACTGCACAAAACATCCCAAAACAAGGCTATACACTGATGGTTATTACAACTTCGTCTTTAGGGCTTTATCTCTAAAAAATTTTGTATACTCAATCTGTCAAAATAGTTCATGAATTTAACATGTTCATTGTTTTAGAATTCTCTTAACTGTGGCACAAAAAATACCAAGATCAAATCCTCCAGCAAAAGAATTAATAAAGTGTTATACCAAAAACTGAATGTCTTACAGGATTATGCAAATCCTGTGCATAAAAAAACAGGTGTTTTATCACCTTTATTAAAAAAGTGATTTTAATAGCCCATTAAAATATAGTATTTCACACATAGCTTTCCAAATACTGCTGTTTGTTCCAGTTTTGAGATTAAACAGATATAGTTGCTTTACAATCAATAAATTAATCCCAGTGAGTAATGAACCATGAATGAAGATCTATAAGAAATATTTTATTAAGTGGTATGAAAACTTATGCTATATATTTCTAGACATAATCCAATTTATCTAAGTAATAAGAATCTCTTCTCAGAATTTCTGCCCCCAGATTACTGGACATCAGGTTTGTGTTAAGGACAAATTCAGGTTAGTCAAAAATTATGTATTCTAAAATTCATCCAAAAAATCTAACGAATTTTCATTATCACAGTTGCCTAAGAGGGAGTAACTCTCTGTTAAAAGAAGGTGATGGTGGGAGAGATTTTAATTATATCTCATTCTGATTGGTTATTTTTTTTTTCTTTTAAAAATTATTTTCTTGTCTTTTTTAGAGTGTTTAGTTTTTATTTGATTGTATGGGGATTATATTTGTCTTACACTTTTCATTTAAAGCTGAGGAGACAGCATGTTATATCAGTTTTTTTCTTTAGATGACTCCAGCTTTTTGAGTGTACTTGCACCAGTAAATTTTCAAGTATATAAGATGCACATTATTGGTAGTGAAAACACCACATGGTTATCTATATGACAATGATTACACTTCCTCCTATTATATCTCAGAATTACAAGTTCAAAAGTCATCAAACTAGGAAACATGGGTATGTTTAGGGTTATCTAGACACTAAGCAGATTATGCTATTTGAATTTTGATTTAAAAAAATCTCTTTAGATTAACATGAATGGAATTCTTCACAAACTCACAGTTTTGTTTTTTTTTTAATACAAAACCAAATAAATGAGGTGACAGAATTGTAGACACTGGTATTGATCAGACTTACGGGTACATGCCATAGTTGGTGGGTCCTTCTCAGCTCTGAAATAACCTTTCTCACACTGACACACAGAAGTTGCTTCTATATGAGTCAAACTGTGTGGAGGGCACTTGGAGCACTTCACATTTCCAGCAAATGCTTTATAGAATCCAGGCCTGCAAGCTGCAAAGTAAGAAGATAAGTTTCATTAATAGAAGAAAATTTTGGTCATAAATAAAATCTGTTCCAAGCAATAATAATGCTGCTTCTTTCCTTTCCAATCTAGATATAGATGTTTTGATGATATAATTCTTGACATTTTTTATTTTGGTATATGAACTTATATGAAAAAAAAAATAAATCTGTTCTTGGTATATAATGGGAAACTGTTAAGAGAGATAACTTCCCAATTTTTAGTCAGTCCTCAGTGCTGCTCGAAATTGTCTCTAAACAACTTCACTAGTATCTCTAAACATGATCTATGTTTTATGTACACGTATTAACCAAAAAGAGTGAGGTAACTTCTTATCTGCCAGAGCTGTTTGTATGGCTTCCTTATTGAAGTAATGACAACTTGCAATACCTAACATATTTACCCCCACAACTCCTTGATGAGACAAGCATGACATCCCCAAATATTTATGGCTGGGTCTGACTTGCCTACAGCGCCCCAAGGAACCTCTGTCAGCAGGGCCACATCAGCTGGTCCCTGTTGGCAAGAGAGGCTGGAGGATGAGGAAGGGATGAAGGAAGGAGATGCTGACACCCTCCAGCACAAAACTGCACAAGCCAGAGGCTATCCTGATTGGGTTAGGAAACAACCTGGGCAGCAGCCAGCCTTGGGACAGGAAATGTTGGGATGCTCAGAGCTCATCACTTCCCCAGATGCTGGGAGCTGGGTCAAGCTTTTTTTTTGCTGGCCTTTAAAGCAGAAATAAGTTGATAAAATAAATTTTTTGCCAGATCTGTCAAGCATTCTGAGATATTATTTTAAAATCATCCTCAGACTTCATCACACATATTTAAACTGAGATTTCTTTCTTTTCCTGCCAGCTACCACATTTGCACATGCCAGCATGTGTTACAGTTACTATCCAGATTTTACAGGCTCCTTTTCCTCCTGACTCCTTCAGTGGTACAATGGAAACCAGCACTATAAATATAATTTTGAGGTTCTATGTGGCTTTTTCTCACTTTGACATATTCAAGACTATTTCCTTTACACTGCTAGAGGAAATAGGTAGTACTTCCTTTTCTTGTAATAAGATACAAAAATATTTAAAATTAGGTGTTTTTAAAAAGTACCTCAAAGTGTCAGTTCATATTAATTGAGTTATTAAAAAGTATTAACTCATAGATAGCATATACACGATCAGTTTTTCTTCTGATTCTGAAGGCTTTTCTTGATATAAAAGCAGTTTCAGTAGTAGCTGAATGAAAAGGAATGAGATGACACTGAAAAAGATAACACTTACTGCCTCTCAGAACCCAAGAGCCAATTTTTCAAATGCAATTTCAAGAGCTTAATTTTGACCCAGCAATTTCAGCAGTTCTCCTTTCCAGGGTGCTGTTCTGACTTTGCTGAATAGACATTAGGGAGGTATCCTGCCCTGCTGTCACTGACTGGGAAAAAAAAAAAAAATTAAAAAGGATTTCTGGTGTTAGAGATAAAAAGGGTGGGAACAGCAGGGATTTTCCCCTTGAAAGTAGGCTACTGGTCTGATGCAATTGTGATTACAGTGAGTGGCAATTTTCTACTGATTGGAAAGACAGCAGGTTTGGTGCAGGGAAGAAGGCAGCACTGCAGATACAGGCTGTAGGCACTGACTCCTCTTAGCTTTGCTGGAAGGAAAAGAGGAGGTAAGGCATAATTGGGGGAAGGGTGTTACACTTGCCTGCTCCCTCCTTATTTTCTCATGCCCAAATCCTGCCCTGATAAATATTAAATTCTTGCTTTATTTCATATGTGACGTTTGTGACTAAAGAGCTGACAATTCCAGATTACAGTTTCACTCAAAGCAAAATGAGTGTGTCTGTCAGTTCTGAAATCATTCCTTCTTCCCTTCTGTTCCCCAAACAAAAAATCACTTTGGGTAAAAAGAAACATACATTCTCTTTCAAGAGCAGTATTTTTTCTAAAATTCAAGAACTTCACTATTTCAAAATAAAACTCAAGGAGAAGATTAATTTCCAATTAAAACAAAAAGCAAATGTTTTATTCTGAAATGGTAGTCTCTACTGCATTTAAAGCAATTATGTTTTTGACATGGCAAATCTTTTAAAAGAAAGCACATAGATACTCATGGAAAAGGTGGAGGGAAAAAATAAATTGATTAAGGTACATCATTTTACTTTTGTAAAATGTACATATATCCCTTAAGTCAAGTATGTACCAATTTCTGTGGCAGAGAAGCTACAGGGAAGCTTTTCAATTGAGAGGTTTGCAAATGTATGAACAGCCCACTCCTCACCCAAATACAGAATCTCACAATAATGATCACTGATACTTCTAAACAAAAAAATAGCCCTTCATAAACAAGAAAGCTGAAAATCCCCAAATGATCACAAACTTGGGAAAACTCAACCCTCTGGATAACTCAGAGCTGACTGCCAACATTCATGGTGAAAGAAAATAAAAACTGTTACTGTGTCAAAGTCAAGGAATATGCAGCCTCAGTCTGAAATACAGACTTCAGCTGCTGTACATATCCAAGTTTAGACTCTGATAACAATTATTGTGTTTCAGCAGCAAATTAATCAAAATAATTGCTAAATTTACCATTTTCCACAGAAATCTGCAAATAACTTCTAATGATAACTACTCCAAAAAAAAAAAGGGGGGGGGTGTGTTTGTTTTCATCTGTGTTACCACAGAGTATTTTTTCTAGCTTCCAAATCACTAGGTGACATCTCGTTTCCCCTAGTGTTTTCTACCAGAAGTGACTTTATGAGATACTGATTATAGGAACTGTATGAAATTTAACTTTTGTAAAGCCTGGGGAAAGATAATATATCGTCTTAAAGGTTCAGTAATTAGCAGGGTATCTGAATGAACAATTCACAGACACTACAGGTTTCTCCAATGAAATATGAGCAACAAGGCAGAGAAATACTGATAATTTAATTGGCTTCATAAAAGATAACACACCTATAAATGTGCTTTGCCAGGATTTGACTGAGTTTTGGAAACTACAGAAGTTTTGTAATTAATACCATTTTCCTTATTTAATGATGAATAGATAGCATCTAGTTTTGTTTGATCCATGGCCACCTGTGGGCTGCCACCCCGGCCCAGCCCACCCCGCAGGGCCCACGGTGGGGAGACAGGTTCTGCCAGGCCCCAAAAAACCTCAAACAATGTCTGGATGTATCTTCTGGCAATTGCAGAGAAAGCCAGAGCTGGCTGAGCTCCATCTGGGAATGGGGACACATTCCCAGCTCCAGGGATGTGGCCAAGGGCTGCCCTCAGCCAGGCTGGCGGGATGTGGGGCCTGGGTGTCCCGGCGTTATTCGGGTGCTGAGGAGGGAGGGTTTCACCTCGTGCTGGAAGGAACAGCATTTTCAAGGATCTTTTGAATTGCCCAGCCCAGTAAATAAGGCCATGGCTCCATCACTCCAAAACACAGCCGTGTTTGCAGAAGAGTCTGCTCCAGGCTGTGACAGCCATAAAGTTCTTCCCCAGCCTCAGGGGTGTACAACATATAGACACAAAACCCGGAAAATAAAAACACAGTGGCCATCTGACTGGTCATAAAACCTTATTCCTTTTAAAAAAAAAAAGAAGCATTTTCACTGCTCTGTTGTAGTACATCATTGTCCAAGATTCAAGTTTTCAGTTGTTTTGGTTACATAACATCTGAATTGACCACTACAGTGGTAGCTGAAGTAAGATGAGTCCAAAGGAAACTTAAGAACAACTTTTAGGTATGTCTGACACTGTTGGTGTGTGGGTGGGAAGGCATTTGTCATGAAAATGGATTTTTTATAGCTTGCTGAGAATTCATCAATTAAATTAAATCAAAGAAGACTCTGTTGTCATTTACAATGAATGGCAACCATCAGTAGCTGTGGAAGAGGTGTTTTAATCTTTCTGAATCACACACTTCCTTATGCATTTCCATCTCTTTTATTTTTTTAACCTTGCTTAATGGATTCCACTAATGCCCTGTGAGACTGGTATCTTTCATACTTGTTATATTATGAATTATTTCAATTTTGAAGTCCTTTTACCCCTCTGCTATCTGATCACTCTACAAAAAGGGCAATCCAATCAGGCCTGTTCTGTTCTACCACTGTGCAGAAAGAAGGAACAGTGACATTACTTTAACCAATTTATATTTCAGTAGAAGTGCCTAGAATAGATAGAAAAGAACATGAAAAAAGAATGCAATGGAAGTTGGATGCTCTATATTAAAAAAGGCAGAATACAATCACAAAATCAATATTAGGATATTACACAGTTAGGAAAATAAAGCCATGAGAAGGATAATAAAGGAAAATAAAGGAAAATAAAGCCACAACCTTTGATTGTGAGTACTATCTAGTTAAATAAATTCACCTTTCTCACATGATTCTTGTTTTAGTCAGGTCATGAATGGACTGTGAGGGGGATTCATTTTGGGTCATGTTTAAACTGATAGTGAGACTGTGCAGCATGAGTTGCTAGAAAATTGAGGAAGAATCCAGTGGAGGAAGGCCAGCCACCACAGATTATAAATCATCAAACATGCTATTTAGTTCAAACTACAAAAATAGAAGACATCATCATATTGAGAAAGCAAAGCTCTAGTTTGATTTAGTTCCTACAGAGAGTAAGGAGGGGACAGGTGACACCCCAAAAAACTTAATGACAGAATGATCCAACTTTGAGGGGATAATTTCAAAAGCAAAATTTGACAAAACAAAGACAAAAAAAGATAAAACAATTTCCCTTTTGATGAGTAGTATTTCTGGGTGCTATGGTCTGCACTTAAATGCATCTGTGTTCATATGCGGCACTCAATCTCTTCTCTTGCCAATATCTCTGCTCTCTAATATTTCTATTCATAGATTTGGAGAAAGGATAGGAGTATTATTCAAAACCTTGACTTTAGAGAGGAGCAAGGCAGAGGACACAGAAATAGGCAGGAATTGTTTCTTCAAATATGACTACATAATGATGATAGGTAAATGAAATTAAATGT